CAGGCTGGAGTGTAGTGGCTCGATCTAGGCTCGTTGCAACCTCCACCTCCCAGGTTCCAGCAATTCTCCTGCCTCAGCCTCTTGAGTAGCTGGGAATATAGGCATCCACCACCACACTTGGCTAATGTTTGTATTTTTAGTAGAGAAGGGGTTTCACCATGTTGGCCAGGCTGGTCTCAAACTCCTGACCTCATGATCCGCCCGCCTTGGCCTCCCAAAATGCTGGGATTACAGGCGTGAGCCACTGCATCCGCCCCTCCTCACTTTTCCTCTGTCTCTCACCCCCCACTTTAGACCCACCCCCACAGAGGCCTGAGGAGACCTCTGCCCAGGGATTCCGCCAGCTGCTGGAGCTGAACCTGCTGGGGACGTACACGTTGACCAAGGTGAGGGCTGGCGACCCTGCTGCCAAGCCTGAGCAGCCTCCTGATAGGTGGATTGTGTGATGCATTTTGTCTAAGAGCACAATGTTTTCTGGTTTTTTTTTGTTTATTTGTTTGTTGGAGACAGGATCTCTCTCTGTCGCCCAGGCGGAGTACAGTGGTGCGATCTTGGCTCACTGTAGCCTCCACCTCCCTGGTTCAAGCGATTCTCGTGCCTCAACCTCCTGAGTAACTGGGATTACAGGTGCGGGTCACAAAACTCAGCTAAATTTTGTAATTTTTGGTAGCGATGCTCCTGACCACAAGTGATCTGCCTGCCTTGGCTTTCCAAAGTGCTGGGATTACAGGCTTGAGTCACCACGCCTAGCCATCTATTTTCTGTTCTTTAGTTTAATCTCCTTATTCTGAAAGGAAGATAAATAACTGCAAATCTTTACATCCAGCAAAAGCTACTTTTGTAGCTACAAAGCCCAGTCCTAGGAACCTTCTAGAACCTTCCAAACTGGTGTGGTGGTGGGGGTGGGAGGGGATGTTAAGAACATATCAGGGCCAGACACACTGGCTCACACCTGTAATCCCAGTGCTTTGGGAGGTCGTTGTGGGAGGTTCACTTGAGGTCAGGAGTTCAAGACAGTTGGAGCAATATGGCGAAACCCCCTCTCTACAAAAAGTTTAGAAAATTAGCCAGGCATGGCTGGGCGCGGTGGCTCAAGCCTGTAATCCCAGCACTTTGGGAGGCCAAGACGGGCGGATCACGAGGTCAGGAGATCAAGACCATCCTGGCTAA